ATTTTTTAGGGGCCCCACAGGCTGGATAGAATGGCCTGGTGAGCTGGATTTGGCCCGTGGGCCAGATTTTGCCCACCCCTACCTTACAGCATGGGGCACACTTTTCTCTTCACCTTTCTGAACACTGCCAAGTGTGCCATCAGTGCTAAGTTTATGCCATCACCAAATGCAAATGAAGAATCTTAAATGTATTCTGAGGTTACCTTTGGATTAAAGTATCTGCAGGACTGTGGCTGTGAGCCTCCAAACAAAGCAATGCGATAATCATGTTTTTTCCTTCGTGGTCTTGTACCCTCTACTAGCTCTTCTCTGTCCTCTGGAGAAAGAAGGTGATATCGCATTCCACCTAAAAGAAAAGCAACAGCTATCAATTCCGTGTGGCTTGAACACAAAGAGGGACTTATTTACTAGAGCAGGGACTTGTAATTTTCAGAAAAAACAAAGTGACACATTCTAAATAACTGGCATCTTTCTTAAATCTACTTTTACTTATGAAAATAAAATCTGAGTTTTTCTCCATTTATGAAAGAACCATCACAGGACACAATAGTGGTACCCAGCTTTAGATCATCTCAGACAGGTCCAACAATGTCAGAATAAAGTTAAAGTCGACCTTGTGCTAAATGTCAATTTAAAGATCTACCTATTTAGTTTGATTTAGCCTACTTAACCAGAAGTTGCCAGTTTAAACCAAGCAGAAGGAAAGATGCACAGAAAAAGACAAAAAAATGGAAAATCCTAGGAAAACAAACTAAGCAGAAAACTTAGAAGCGCTCTAATATGTCTCCTAAACCCTGGGTGCCTGTACACGAGCACGGAGGCTGCTCCGGCATGCTGTGTTTACAGCATGTTGGAAGAGACTTGATTGAGTCTGCTGGAATGTGGCAATTACTGCACTCCAGTAGCCTCTCCCGTATCAGCGTCCCCATGCTTCAAAATGGCGGCAGAAGTACTTGAAAGCTTGAATGAGCTTTTGTTCAAGTGCCCCTGCCGCCATTTTGAAGTGTAGGTATGCTGATACACGAGAAACTGCAGCCCTTTAATTTAAATGGCTCTCAGAGCCACTCTAAATTAAAGCTCTGCCCATTCACCCCTGGAGTACATACAAAAGTGCCCCCTTGTGCCCAATTCTGCACTGTGCTGAAAGTTCTAAATTCCAATTAGTTTAACTGAGAGTTTAACACTCACGTGGGATAAAGCCTTCAATATAAAAGGAAAGGTGGGAAGGAAAAAAAAATTAGATTGATGTTGCTTTTAAAGCAAGGCTGAACTAAATTATTTCCTGCCATTCAACTAGCGCAGGAATACAGTTCAATTTTATTTCCAAAACCATGAATAAATTTTATTCTTATATAGACTGTTCTTGGGCATCTGATGAAATTAAGAATCACATTAGTTACCCACGTCTGAAGAGAGGACGATTTTGTCTCCATTTTCCTTTTAAATAAATGCACATAATGATGAGACATTTAATTCAACATTTTTAGAGTATAACATCTGTAGCCCTAACTGTCAGTCTGCATTAAAGGTGGAGATGGTAGAAGATAAGTTAAAGGTCCTTAAGTTGCCTTGGAAGACTTTTGAGTCTCAGACATTTTGACATAAACATTTTTGATTGACTGCAATATAAACTGGAGTAATATTAAAGTTATCAGCCACTCTCAAAGGTGCACTAACCCTTCTAATTACACCTAATAAATCCTAACAAGGAAGCCACATTCTGTTACTCAGCATTAAGTTGGAATCACTTACCAGGGACTTTCATTTCTTTTCTCATTAAAACTGCTAAACTCTAACAGGTGCTATTTATATAACAAGCTGCTTATCAGCTTCAACTAAATGACATGTCCTAGAATGAATAAAGCTAGTGCCAAATTAAAACTAAAAATGCAATAAAAATATTTTCACTTTAGTGAGCAATTGTCAAACAACAACAAAAAATAATCTAATCATAAAGACTACTAAAATATTCAACTAGGAAACAACTTACTGATCACCATTTTAAGGCACTCAGGGTTGTCCTGAATAAGTGGTTCCGCCTGAACAGTTTTACTTAAGAAATTTTTCGATATGAGAGGAAATCTGACTTTAGCAAGAATGTCAACCATGTATGGCTGGCGATTAGGTTCATCATATTTCAGCCACCTGACTGCTGCATCATAAACCTGAGAAAGAGAGAGGGAGACATACACACAAGCAATAAAACACTTGATAAAGTCTCCAAAGTGGCAAAGCAACTAAGTAGTTGGAGACCTATATAAATTTATGACCCAAGAATAAGGTGATTCCACAAAGTCAGTCATTATGTTAAACAAAATAAATACATGCCTTTGGGAAAAAAGCAACTTATAAACTCCTTGTATACTGACACTTTTATAGAGATCATATACATTTCCAAAGGTAAATTGTTGCAGGTATTGCATAGTCCTAAATGACAAGGCTTTTCATGTACAGAAGTAGTGGTGAAATCACAGCCAACAATGAAGATGTTGTATTACAACACAATAATTATACCATTCCCTGTATCTGATCCATTTTATCTGATGTTTATAACCTGCTGCATGGGAAGTTTTTCAATCACACTAGTATTATGCATCTTAGAACATGTATGGTAAAGTGAAATAAAAAATCCAAACATCACACTTATTTGGAGGAGGTTCACATTAAATGAGGTTTTAATAAAATGACAGCAGATTATCGAAAATGTAACATTAAGGATAAATTAGCTGCTATATTTTCCTTGAATCTTATTTACTTACTACAGGCAGAGAATCCAAGTATGTTGAGTACTACATAAGTATTTCTTCTGTTCCCCCTTTGCTTGAATTTTTTTTGGGGGTGGGGTGTGGTAGGAAAGTAGTAGGGGGAGCACAGCCTTGATTTACAGGCTAAAATACTGGATTGACAACTGCCAAATGTATATCGGGAAAAATCTTCATCTACAGGACTCACTTTGGAGTCACTATAGTATAATTACAGCTGATTATTATGTCACAAAATCCATTTATTTTAACTGAAACTGATCAGAACAAGTGAATGATTGGAGTTTGTTTGAAATAGTAGCTATTTTGCCATCAAATCATTTGCTACACAGTGGGCGCATTTACACGTTCATTAATATGCTATTGTTACTGCATATTAAGTTAGTACCTCTAATATGAGGTACTACAAAAAGGCACACTGAGCTGCCCTAATGTGCAGCAGGAAAAGCAAATGCTTTTTTAGCGATGCTTCATGGGCAGTAGACTAATTCTACTTCACATTAGCATATTAGCACGGTTTTTGCTGACACTTCACTGCACAGTAGAATAGGCTATTAAACATTAAAGCGCATGTGTAGAAGCGCCCAACGAATTACTCAAAGCGAAGGGTGGTCTTCCTGATTAAACTACATTACTTGCCAAATCTCTATGAATAAGAAGTCACACAGGAAGGAGTTAACCATTAGAAATAAACCTAGCTCAACACCATGGGCTAAGGCAGTGGTTTAATGGCAGTGTGCTAAGGCAGTGATTTACTCACATTACAAAGTGTACAAAGATTATCTGAATGTAGTAACCACACTTCCACCCTTACTTCATTTGCATGACATCCTGCTTACATGTAAACTCCCTCCAGCATCACAGGAGGATTTATGCAGCATAAGAGTCTACACACCCATTTTCCTAAAGGCTTTTTAGGATACCAAATTCTACTTACACAAAATCCTTTTGCAATTTCAACTGAATTAGATCACACCCTTTCAGTCTGAGGCCAGCTGTATTGCTTAGTAAAGCTTGCAATTTACTTTACTTGGAATTAACTACTTTCTAAGGTGTTGCTTTGGGGCCTCAATGGTTTCCTGTATGTATACAGCTATACCTCTGAACTGAAACATGAACTGACACTCTTTTCCATAATTTGCAGCTAGTCAAATTCTTGTGTCTTTGCCAAATGATGCTGAAAAAACTCCACAGACTGATACAAAACAAAGCTGCATTGTTAGTGCTTGCCAAAGTCTTCCAAATTTATGCTGCTGCATATGCAAGCACTTACTTGCATGTACCACACTAATTTATATCTTATCAGCCACATGTCATGTACACGTATGGCACTCTGAAAATAGCAAGAATCACACACTTTACACCTGCTCTTAAACTTCACCACACCATTTCAGTTGCTGCATTTATCTGGTAGAAGGCACATTTGACTAAGAAAATGGGATCTCACCTGATCTTCTGCCCGCACAGTCAGGGTGTCCTGGTTCAGAAGATGTGTAACACGCTTAACATCAAGCTGTAGGAACTCATCTGTTTTGTAAACTTCAGTGAAGTGCTGATGGATGAAGTCATCTGCTGTGGCTTTCAGTTCTGGACAGTCTAGGCATTCTGCTAACACACTTATACCTGCATAGAGAATGGGAAAAATATAGACATTTCCAAAGTTTGTAGGTTAAGGAATTTATCATATACACAAATAAATTAAACTTACAGAGCACCCAAAGTTTTTTTTAAAGGTTTTCATAATTCATCTGTAACTTTAAATAAAAAGCTAAATGCACCCCTTTGCAAAGCACAAACTTCTGGTTTTGATTAAACTGGCAGAATGGCAAGGATGTAATACTATCTCCATGTCATGCCATTATTCCTTTAGCTCTCAGCCCTGTAGTTTGTAATTAGAGTCAGGCTTTACATTGCTCAACAGGTTATCACTCTCTTTGGCACCATATCCTCAACATATGTGCTCTCTAAATAACAATGGAAGCAACGACAGTACTTTACTTCTGCCTGAGCCATGCTGTTACGGGGCAGGGTGAAGAGCATGGACATAATACAATGAAATTGAAACTACATGAAGAACCAAACACATTTATTCCCCAACTCCAGAGAGGAAACAAATATAAAATAGCATTTGAAGTCAGATTTTAAGTAACACGACACTAAAATGGAGTTCCCATTCCTTCTTTTAATGCATCTTATGATTTTTCCGTTGATTTAAGTATTTTATAGCATGCATAGAGGTATGAAGTATCAATCTAGTAATTTTCACAGGTGTATCTTCCATTTAAAAACAAAGTAAGACTACAATGCTCAGATCTAGTGCAAGTAACACAATGATCTATGCCTACTGATACAAGGAAATCTAAAGTAAGGGCAACCATTCTTTTCTTACTCTCTCTAAGTCAGAGTGCAAAGCTGGGTTTATGGAGCACAGGGTTCTTTGTATTCTTCGGTTAGTGGAAATATCAAGTACTTCAGTTTGCAAAAAAACCAAAATATTGATTTGACCTTGCTTTCCTCTTTGTGGGATAAATTAGCCTTAGAGTAGAAAAACGGTTTTTACAAGGCATGATTTTCTACTAAAGAAAAAACAGTACAAGAGGTTTTCATGCGTCTTTAAAGCAAGACATATTTATCAAAAGCTATCATCTTTCATTAACAATGTATTAATTCTACAGCTGTGCTCAAATGAAAGAAAGGTCAACTGAATCATTAGAATTCAGACAAGTCATGACATTTCTGTTGACATCAGATAGGGTTACACTTTCTTTGAAGCAGGTAATGTCATTTTTTTTGTTATTTTAAACACAGAATTGGTCAGTCAAATCTCAACAGGGTTCTGTAATGCAACAGATTTGGCTAAAACATTTAAATTAGAACAAACATTTGAAATACTGGTACTGTCCATAAGATTTATCAACAAGCACTTAGTTTTGCTTGTGGGAGTTTGGTTGTGTCTTTTTTTTTTTAAATGGAGAAAAGCAAACAGTCCATGTTACATATCAAATGCCTGTTGAGTTTATTTTTGAGACACTACTCTCTCAGTTGGAATGAGCAACAGCCAAGAACAAAAATAATTTGATACTTTTTTAAAGTAATAAAAAGCTAAAGCTTATTTAAGCTCATTTTGGAAAAATAAAATTACATCTGAGCCAACTTGTACCTCAAAGTCCAGCCAACAAGACTGAACGTTCCAAGTTACTGAAAAACTGAGGCCTTCAATCCAGCAGCGGGCTCCGTACTGGTGGATCCATGCCTCCACAGAGCCCCAGTGGAGTTAGTGGGCCTCCACACAGGCAGAGCTAGTTGCAGGACTGGGCCTCCTGTTTATAATGAAAATGACAACAGTTCCTTAAAAAGCATCACGGATATGAGACTTCGATCTATTTCTGAAGAAGAGGATCCTATACTTCAAATTCACCAAGCTCTTGTAAACATTTATATAACAATTACTAGTAGAAGTCACTCTGAAACTTTCACAAGATCACTCATGCTAGATAATTTTTAGCAATATTTTTGGTTTATAAGCTTTCAAACAAAGTCTCAAAAGTTCAGTGGCACATGCAATGACACATACCTGAATCTGTGCAAATGTTCTGTCTTTTAAAGAGGGGGGCAGGGAAAGACTACAACCATAAATATTATTTGACATTTTTAAAGCACAACTACATTTTTAAACAATGCCTTTAACATAACAAATCTTTCTTACCAAGACAATTTGAAGCATCAACTTGCTCTTTCAAAAAATCCACACACATTTTTTTCACAGGTTCAATTTGATACTGGTTTGCAGCATCTAGTAAAGACTGGACATTATTGCTGTTAACAGAAATCCTGCAAAACATATTATGCAAAATTAGCACAACTAAAACCACTCCATGACTGAAACATTAAAAGAAAGTTACACAAAGAACAAAAGGATTCCCCCTCTACTATACGGACAAGAAAGTATTACCTGCAAAGCATGTTCTTCTTGCCAGGTTCTCTTCTGCCCTCCCCCCATTATACACAATTGCATATAAGTAAATACAGCAAAACATGAAAGTAACTTGGAACTACCTGGCCCTTAATTTTGAAAGATGAACCTTAAACTTTGGACAACTGTAGTCAGTCCATGCCTGATTTTGCAATTCTGACTTGTCCCCCATCAATCCATTACTGTCACAAAAAGAAATGGATTGATGGGACAGCATTTCTCTTTCTAAAGTCATCCTGGTACCCTTAGTAGCCAAAATAGCTTTATTATACACTTTGCAGAAGAGAAAAGGAGTGTTTAAAAATACAAGAGGAATAGTACTATGAAGTTTACAGCACCATTACCCATTTAGCTGGCCTAAAAATCTCTGCATGGGCCCACACAGAATTCTACTGACTTCAACAAAGGCCTACATCAACCTCTGTGCGCATGGACTGAAGTAGAATTCTGTAACTGTAGCAAGTTGCTGAGATTTTAGAATGAAATACAGGTACTGTGGGAAATGAAGGTGTTCAGCTTCCCAGAAAAAAAAGACCATTTTAAACAAGCTACCTTGCAGTATAAGCAAATTCCACAAGCTGTTCAATAATGTCAGGCTCTGCATCCTTTAGCTCCACTTCAAAGGACTTCGATTCAAGCATATTTGCTGCAAGTCAAGAAAAAGAGAACTAAATCAGCATATCCCCGTCAGCATAGCTGTCATTTTGCAACTCATGGAACATCTCTGGTAAGACAATTACAAGAAAGGGAAAGACTTTTATAAAGCTGAACACCCCAAACAAACTCACAGAGGAACTTTTCAAAACACTGGTAATTATACTTTTACTATGTCTTGTCCAGACTTGGGATGTGGATATTACATTACTAAACTTGTAAAAATAATGCAAATCAAAAAGACTATAATTTCTGGAAAGCTGCCTGTGTGTGTCCAGTGGTGGAAAAAATTAATATATTTTGTGATGTGATTAGTAAGACAAAAAAATCATTTGAGCTCCTCATTACTAACAGGCATTTAACAACATGGACGACACCCCATTGAAAAGCAGAGCTGATTGAAGAAAGAAGAGAAATCAATGAGGGATAGGATACATTCATAGTTTCTATGGTCAGAAGGGACCTGAGCATATCATCAAGTCCGACCCCCT